TTTTTTTTTTTTTTTTTTTTTTTTTTTTTTTTTTTTGTTATATTCTGTTTTGCGCGCGAAATTACTTAAATACTTAGCTTGCACGCGCCACGCGCCGATAGAGACGAAATCGCGAGGGTTGGTGATCCTGTAATTTCAGTCTGTCTCGTAGTCACGATAGTTCGAAAATCATTCGACGGAATTGGTAAACTTCCTTCTCGAAGAGGAAAGGCGTCAGAACGAATTCAACTGGCAGAATTAATTCCGCAATTGCTGTTCAATTTTCAATTCACAATTTATCGAACAACGGAGCGTGGCACTTCTACGAACAATTTGCTGTCTACTTTTTTTTATTTTTTCACCGACACGTACAAACACCATTCGGGATGATGGTAATGGGGCTTCCACGCACTGCCACTCTTACGAAGACGAAAATTAACTAATCAGGTATTGAGTATTTTCGGATTTAAGGCTGACAACGTAAAGGTAGAAGGTGAGAAGAAAGTACAACGGTGAGAATGACGTTCGATGAGATACGATCGTTCAAATTAACGCGAATATGAGTAGAAAGTTGTACGTCGAATGAAATAGAGAAAAAAATTGCATTGTAATATCTTACGTTCGTCAAAAAAAAAAAAAAAAAAAAAGAAGAAGATGATGATGAAATTCTTGACATAGAACAACGAAATAAAGAGTGATATATCGATTGATTTTTCACGAACAGAGCCGACTAACTGGCCGACTCCCTACTTTCCTGGTCGCTAGCGCTATCCCCTCCACTGCATCAGTGGGAAAGAGTGGGAGCGATCAGGCAAGTAGGGGCAAGAGCCCGCAAGCCGCCAGTTAGCCAGCTTTGTTCTAGAAGAATAAGAAAAAGAGAAAGAAGAATGTAAATCGTGAGTAGTAATGACAAGAAGAAGAAGAAAAAAAAAAACAGAAAAAAAAGAGGAAAAAGGAAAGAAAAAGAGCATGAAATTGGCGACAAGTAAAATAAAAGAGAGAGCAGCGCACATTTCCGTATATATATATATATATATATATACGAGGAAAAGGTGTTCTCGGGCGGTTTGGTTTTCGTACTATCTAAACATGTGATTTCAATAAATAAGCTACCTAGGGAGCGAGTTCATTTGTTGGGGGAGGAAGGGGCAGGCGCTCCTTACGTGGCGAATCTGCGAAAAACGAAGGAATCAGGGATATGGCTCCGTGCGGCCTGAGTGTCTCGTCTGAATTTGAACGACGAAACTCGTTTTCGAGTTGGTCGCCGATTTGGAAATAACAACGTTTGCGGGGAACAAAGCTCGTGGAGGAGTAGAGGGGGGAAGAATAGAAAAGTCGCGAGGCCGTGAGGAACATGTACCTCCGATTCTTTTCGTCGAGTCGCCACCGCGTCATATATTCGTGTTACCTAACCTAGTAATACAGTCTGCGATAGCATCCTAAGGATTAACACTTCATTAACGATCGTATAATATATATTACACGCAGTCACACGCAGTTCACAGAGGCAGATATACGTACGCGCTCCAGAATGCACACAAATACTTAAGCTCGTACACGAACACGCAGTTTAAGCCGATAATTCTCTCAGTAGTACTATATCACTCTCATTCCTATATATCAGAAAAATAGATTTTTCTGTATGAATTACACCTCGTTCGTCGGCGTTGACGAAATCGCGCATCGAAAATAATAATTATCATTTCAAATACATCGTCGTATAAAATACTCAGAGATCCCGTTTTTTATTATTATTTGTATGCGT